CTTGAGTTGGGATGAAGTAGAAGAAGACATTTTGAAAGATGTTGAAAGCTTAGATTGTTTTATGAGAGAAGGAGGGTAAAAGATTCAGAGTGCGAAAGATTTAGAGTGTGAAAAGAAAAGGAGAAGATTAAGTTGATGTTTTATAATGGGGAAGTTTAAGAATCCACCGAATAGAGGTGTGATACGTGGAGATCATGGGTTAGTGTGATGAAGAGGTGGCGTGAATTTAACATAGGTAATAGGCGTGATTTAAAAGATAATCATTATTTATAACTGCACCACGCTGTGAAGTGGCTCCGGGCAGTTAAGGAATCCAAAAGGTGCTATGATTGATGTGACTGGAGTCAAATGCATTAAATGTTACGATGATTCGAAAGTCCTATCAAAATCTTGTGTAGGTGTTTAAAATAGGTATTTCTCAGAGGAATCGAAATACATATTTTAAAGGGGCAATTTTTTGGCTGAAGATTTTGATAATGTTATTTAGAAGCCAAATGAGTTAAACGTTTTTGATCGAAATGGAGTTAAACGTCATATTTCGAAGTAGCAGAAGCAGTGTTTCGAATAAGTGTGTCAAAGCTTGGAGCTTCGAACGGCAATTATGGGAACATATCTAAAGGAGTTTCGAAACAACAGCGAGGCTGTGTCTGGGAAGAGCGTTCGAAACGGAGAAACACCAAAGCATTTAAAATTCAAATGGAAGCGGGACTTTCAAAGTTTGAAAGTTATGTATTGGAGCATTTGGGGACACGTGGAAAGATGAAAGAAGCATTGTCTTGCATGTTCGAAACGTGGCATAATCCTATAGCAAGACCGTTATGGTCGAATTAGTATAAATAGAAGTCTTAGTATTAGGATTTCGTGTGTCATATCTATTATACAAAATACTCAATAACATTCAAACTACCACATGGCAAGGGAAACGAATGCAAGAGAAATGTATGTATGATAGCACCATGTATTTCTGATTTAATGAAAACCTTTTACCATTTCTAGTACTTTCCTTTATTCCTTTTGTCAAACAACATTTACAAGTTTTCTTATTTATAGTCTTTTCACTTCGAAATCTCTTCTTCAAAGTTTTACATTTTAATGTTTTCTTTATATTTCGAGCACTTTATATTTCAGAAAACTGTCATATTTTCCATACCTTTACCTTCAAATCTTATCCTTCGAACGCATATGTTTACTTAAAATCATTTACAGATTTCTTGCATTAAACGCTTTCTTCACACTTCAAACTTTTACGCTCCAGAAATCCTTTATATTAACTGTTTTTTAAGTCGAAGCCATTCACTTCATTTTTATGCAGTTTTATATGTCTTTACAATTAGCATTACAATTAGCATTTATTCGTGTAACTTAGTTTTCACACACATTTTGATTACATCTTTAGACTCTTAGAAAGAGAGAGATCGAAACAAGCCAAACACATATACAATATCAACCATGAATATCTGTTCGATTGTGAGAGTAACCTTAATATCCAAGGAGTCCTAGGATCAATCTAGTCGATCCTGTGAGTTACCAGAGGAATTGAATAACAGTAAGAAAGATTATTTGATAGTTTGGAAGACTAGCGGTTGTTTACCAGAAATCACTGGAAACAGCATGCCCGCCCCGTTTAGGCCCGTCCTGTAAAAGCCCGCAAAAAAACAGGACGGGGCGGGACGAGCATAGTTGAGGATGAGGGCCTAAAATCTAGGCACGCCCTACAAAAAAGTGAGTGCAGGACGGGGAAAGCCCGCAGGCACTGCATCTTTTAGGCCTAAAAATGCAAATTTTAAGGTTAATAATCATGCCCGCAAAAACCCGCGAAGAAAACAGAGTGGGGCGGGGCGGTCACATTAGAGAGTGAGGGCCTAAATTCTTGACCCACCCCGCACTAAAGTGCGGATAAAACAGGCATGCCCAACAGGCCGGGCCCGTTTTGCCACCCCTATGTTTAGGGTGCTAATATCTTCCCTTTGCATAACCGACCCCCATACGTTGATCTCTATTTCATTTCGGGTTTTACTTGCTCTTTTCCTATTTCCTTTGGAAATAATAAAGTGCGGTGGCGACTTTTCACTGTGAGTTAAGTCAATTGATAGCTTAGTTTCAAATCTTTACAGCTACATTTTCGCATACAGTACGACATCGATTTTTGGTAATCCTGAAACCATATTTCTTCTTTTCAAACTTACGATGTCTTTGAAGTTGAGAAGGCCAAGTCGATAGTTTCATATCCACTCATCCCTGGTAGCTGCAATTGCAAGGCACGTTTGCTCTATCACATTAAGTTCAATCTTGAAGGTTCTATTCTGAGACATAAGAGCCTTCAAGATCAATCTTCCAATTGAGTCGGCAACTCTCATCATCTTGTCCTCAATCGAAACCTTGTATTTCTTTTCTAATAACTTCCCTATACTTAGAAACTTGTTTTCATGCTTGGTATGTATAACACATTTTAAATTACTGAAATTTTTCCATCCTTCCTCATAATCAGAACATCACCAATACCTTCAGCTGCTTGAGTATTGTCATTTGTAAATTTTACCATGTTCTTCTTCGAGGATTTTATGCTGACAAACCAATCTTTCCTTCCAAACATGTGTGATGAGCATCCTGAATCCAAGTACCACTAGTCCTTGAATCTCTCTTCATATCTTGTTGTGACCATAAGCAATTAAGCATCATATTTTCTTTTTCTTCTTCTTCTTCTTCTTCTTCTTCTTCTTCTTCTTCTTCTTCTTCTTCTTTTTCTTCTTCTTCATATTTTGAAAACTTTGCATCATTGTCTTGATTAATCTATTTTTCAGGACAATTACTAGAGTAGTGACCATATTTCTGACAATTGAAATATTGAATGTGACTTTTCTTAGGCTTTCGACCACCACCTTTTCCTCTACCTGCAACACCGCCTCTTTGGTTGCTTTGGTATAAGGGTCTTCTCTAGTTCTACGCATTTCCATCCTGCCAGTTCCTTTGACCAGTCGAATTGTTGTAGCCTCCTCTACCTTTATTATCGAACCACTTTCCTTTATCTTTCTTTTCTCTTGTTGATTGAGCCTGCATAGCCACATCACTATTTGACTTGCCTGCAACTCTTTCAGCCATTCTTTGTTCATGAGATTCAGGCGTCTCTTGAAGCTCTTCCATTGTGAACGTCGTTAAATCTTCTGACTCTTATATGGCTACCACTATGTGGTCTAACTTTGGAGCCAAAGACCTCAAGATCTTTACGACAATTGATCTCGACGTCAGTGCTTCTCCACATACTTTGATTTGATTCACCAGTTTCGTAATCCTACTGAAGAAATCAATTATGCTTTCACTTTCTTCCATCTGAAGCAAATGATATGTTCTCTTATGAGTTTGTAATCTCACCTCTTTCACCTTTTGAGCGTCTCCAAATGATTTATCTAGAATTTTCCATGATTCTTTCGCTGATTATACATCACTCAGCTTCTCAAAATTGTCTGAATCAACACATTGATGAATTATAAAGAGAGTTTTATAATATTTCTTTTTTCAATTCTTTCTGTGCAGCATTTTCTTCATACATCACTTCTTCTGCAAGCGGTGATACACATTCCTTCACAAGATTCCAAAGATCTTAGTAACACAAAACCATATTCACCTGCTTGCACCAACTCTCATAGTTATGACTCCCGGAATCATAAGACTCTCTGAAAAATACCCGTTTGGATGATTCACTATCATCGCTATTGCTTGTCTCGAATCGCTCAGCCAGAGCTCTAGATACCAGATGTTGGGAATTACACTAAATCTATGGAAAATTCCAAATCAATCTTGATGAACAAGATTCAATCAACTCGATCGAAATTCCTTGTTTCTTCACTCTTCACTTGAGTGAATCAACTAACCATGGTTACAAGATGATTATTGTTGCACAGTGGAAGAATAAAGAAAGAAAAGATGAATTGGGGAAGAAAGGGAAGTTAGGGTTTGAACAAATAAGAAATAATTTTGCAGAGTTTCTCTTTGCCCACAAACTGTGGAAAACTTTATTCTTTTGCAACTGCAAACTCAATGTGTGTTACAATAATATGGTTACTCCATCTATTTATAGTTTTAGGTTAGCTTGCTCCTTAAGTCAAAGCCCAAAAACACAAAAGGCCGAAATACATAATTCAGTTAACATTACTAAAATAAGTCTAAGTCAAAATCATGTCGAACAACCTGCTTCGACATTTTGATACACACATACTAGGCTAATTTCGACACACCCTTGTATCTATCGAGCAAACATGTTTCGACACAAGGAATTACAATCTCAACGAATATTATTAAGATAAACATATTGTCCCATTTTCACGTTCAAATGTTTGAATTTAGGATACTACAAAGATACAGTAATTGGTATGGTTGAGTTCGTAACAACAAGGACAAATATACAAGTTTAAATTTATGTAGTAATGTTTGATTTGTTAAAAAATGTAAGACTGGACCGGATAAATTTTTTTGTATCCTGTTTGATGTTGAAATTGATCAGGGAATTGGACAAAACATGTACCACGAGATTGTCCAAAAACATGAATTTTTGTCTTCACTAAACCATGAGACAACTTTTTATCTCAAACACAAATTATCAAAAACTATCAAAATATCATCTTTTATATATATCAATAAAGAATATTATATAAAAAAAATTATATTATTGTGTTCAATATATAAATTTATCGAACAAAATAAATTAAAAAAATTGTCTAGTACATCAATTATCAAATATATTATAATTCAAAAAAAATATCTTGTACTATTTTGTATTGTCATGTACTTATCATTTTGCAAATCAAATACACAAGTGTGAAATAAATCTATATAAAGTACTACATTAAAAATAAACTGTTTGCAAAATTAACATGCATGAGTGTAGTTGTAATAATATTCAATCAAACCAACAACAGTCCATGAAATTTCAATCACAAAAAGAAAATACAGTTATTTTTATGTTTCAGTATAATTTTGTTAAAAATAGAAAATCAAACTTGATGTCATCCAGCACCACTGCTACAGATCCCGGTGATCGAAACCGGAAATCTACCACAAATACTTCCCGCGGTGGACGATCTTTCGTCAACAACAGACGGTGGAAGAATTCTCCCGTCAGCAAACAACGCCCTCCCGCTGTTTCTCTGTTCCGGTGAATCCACCACCAATCCTTCCAACTCCGCAGCCGCACCATAAAAAGCAGCATCGCCGAAACGCCTTTCAACTTCCAGAAACTCACCCAGCGAAGCCGACCTTGAATCTCCGTCACTGCAAAATCGCCACCACTTCCTCCGGCGCTTGGCAACCACGAAATCCGCCGCGTTCCTCTTTGACTTGACGGCCCTCCGAGAGGTTTCCACGGCGGTGGGAGTGGCGGAAGGTGAGTCTGCGTTGTGAGGTGGAGCTCTGAAGGTGATAGTTGGGAAGGTGACCCCCATGAGAGTGCCTAGTGAGGTACTTCTGTCATGGAAGAATGATCCAGTAGACTATCATAGAATTGATCCAAAAAATAATTAAAATAATATTAATGGTTGAAAAGGAGAGAAATAAAATAAAATAAAGAAGAATCGATAATAGGTAGTTACCTGAGTGTCAAGATCAGAGGAAGAAATGGATGAGTTGGTGGGAGAAGACTGTGGTGCCACTAATTCACCACCTGGACCTAACATCTTTACGGTTCATGCACGCTACTCATCACACTTTCAGACCAAGAAATGAATGATGCAAAAAATAAAAAGGAAATAAAAGATTCTCAAGTACTTCTTCCCCCACTTGGTTCATGTAAATATCCTATTCTTATGTTAGGAAGGGCTCGGGTAAATATAACAATAAAACAAAATAAAGCAAAATAAAATATTACTTACTACTCTCCGTCTCATTTCTATTTTTTTTATGTCCCAAAATAAAATATCTCTTAAAAATACTTTCCATTAATATATCTATTAATTATTAATTTTCACACTTTTCAACTATTCTATTAATTATTATAAATAAGAATATTTTAATAAGTGACATTAATTTTATTGTTAAAATCTCTTAAGAACTATGTAGAATTCAAATGAAATATTTATTATGAGAATACTATTTACTTTACATGTATTATAAACCTGTCAATTGTTTGCGTCAAACGTGTCTTAAAAGCAACTGCATAAATAAATCATGAAAGTAGCAAGTAGAGCAAATGGGCTTTAAGAACGATTGTCTTCAAAGTGGACAGCCACTATACCCAACAAGTGGTCACAACAAAAGTAGAGACTTAGATAGGGACATCACAATATGTTAATTAAGAACTTAGTTCAAGAAACCTTCTTGCCATTGGATGCTTAGCTTGAGAGAGTTGATTAGGCTTAAGAACTTCAACAATTTCACCATCAACAACCAAACACACTACATCAGCCATCCTTTGAATTTGTTTGATGCTATGAGAAACCATGATTAGTGTCATGCCTTTATTCTTGTTCAACTTCATCAAAGCATCTTCTATGTTTTCCGTCGATATTGGATCTAATGCACTGGTAGGTTCATCCAAAAGCAAAACCTTCAAAATTAACAACACAATATTTTCATAATTAAGATTATATATAAATAGCAAGCGACAGATTTCTAAAAGGTTAACGGTGCAGTTTGTTGTCAGTTAGTCTATTATTTCTATACAATCTTGATTATATATATTTTGATCATGTTTCTCGAATTCATAAACAAACATTAGTATTTGGATTCATCACCTCAGGTGAGTTAGCTAGAGTTCTTGCAAGTGCAACTCTTTGAGCCTGACCTACAGAGAGGTCAGCACCAGATTTATCCATGAAAGAAGCATCCAGATCCGCCATTGTCAGCAACTTCCCCACCTCATCGTCTGTTAGCTTTACTCCCCTCAGTTGTGGACCATATCTAACGTTGTCCGCAACTGTCCCTGTACTGGTACAACATTAAAATAACCAAATTTGTTGCAGTTATATAATTACAGAAACAAAAGATTGAACTGAGATCACTGACCTTCAAAGAGAGCAGGGAGCTGAAAGAGCATGGCAACCTTACGGCGGAGGGAAAGAACATCAAGGTGGCAGATATCTTGCCCATCGAGGAAGACGGAGGAGGAAGGTGGCTCCCAGAGGCGATTCAAAGCCCTTAAGAGCGTTGACTTGCCGCTACCACTAGGGCCTATGATCCCAACAACCACACCCTTTGGAACGTCAACGGTGATGCCTTTGAGTATGTGAATTTTTCCATCATCTGAATCTTTTGTCAGATTTTTTATCTGGAATTTGGGTTTTGTGAAGTCTACATGTTGTTGCTGATGTTCTTCCACATCCAACAAGTGTTCTGTTAAAACGTAAACACAATAAATCAGGAATTAGATGCGGTGAAAGAAATGAAGATATTTGTGATTGAATTGTTTCTTTACCTAAGACAGAAGACATGATTGGGCGTGAACGAGAGAATGAATGGTGACTGTTGTTGAGTAAGATATATGAATATGAATTTTTTTTTTATGATAAGAAAATCAGAAACAACCTGACCTGGTTATCACTATTTCTTCTGCAAGATGACTCCTCCCTGCAATATTCCTTTTCTATTTTTTTACACAAATTTCATTTTTCAATAAAATAGATGCACCTTTATGACAAAGTCATTACCACTTAGTGTTATAAGTACCAATACTCCATTCAATATTCTATTAGGGTTAGTTGTGCTCTAATTTTAAATGGAATTTTCGATAATGAAAGGTAAGATTGATTTTCTTAAATTAATCGTTGCAAGATTGAACATCAAGATTTAAAAGAAAAATTACTAAAATTTAGACTTTTAAGTTTGCTTTAAAAAAATTCATTAGGCAAAAGAAAATAGTTTTTCTTAGAACAAATAAATATTTTCAAAGCCCTCTTTTATTAGAATTTGAAGATTTTATTCTCATTATGAAGTAGTTGAAATAAAATTATAAATTTAGCAATTTCAATCAATTCAAAAGAAAACATACATAAGAGATATTCAAGTTGGTTATGAATGATTAATTGTGATTCTATTAGAAAACTTAACTACTTATTTCTATTATTTTGGTTAGTTAGCTAAATTATTGGGCTTTAGGCATATAGTTTGTTATAACTCAAGTACCTATATAAGTCATTTGGCCATTCACCCTTGTACTTAATATTCATATGATTCATTAATTCAATTGGGCTCAATGGGCCTTTCACACAATATTCATTTGTAATATAGTATCAATGACAAAACCTTAAGCCTCTTTCCTTTTTTCATTTCATCTTCCCCATCTTGCATCTAGGGTTCTTCAAAATCCTTTAGACATTTTTATCATGGCTATTGATAGTGATTTCGAATCAAATGATCAAACCAACAAAGAAACCACCACCACCAATCTTAACGATCAATCCATCATCATCGTTGCACCCAAAGATCCAACCCTGAACCCACGAAGCCCCTTTTATCTTCATTCGGGCGAAAACCCCAGTTCCAACCTTATTGTGCCATCGCTTGACGACAACAACTACCACAACTGGAGAAAATCTATGTGACATGCCCTCGCATCAAAGAATAAACTGGCTTTCATCAATGGAACACTCGTCAAACCAGATTTCTCTGATCCAAATTTTAAGCTAAGGGATCGAGCAAACATCATGGTTCTTTCTTAGATCAACAAAACCTTCTCTCCTCACATTACTTAGAGCATAATCTGCTTTGATTCGACTTTCGAACTCTGGGACGATCTTCGAGAAAGATTTACCAAAGGTAATCATTTTCACTTATTTGGCCTCTTACGCGAACTTTATTCCATCAAACAAGGGGATAGATCCCTTTCACAATACTTCACTGATCTCAGGATCCTCATGGATGAACTTGAAGATCTTCGTTCCATTCCTTCTTTTTCTTTCCTTACCCCTTGCACTTGGGATCTTGCCAAAGTCGTTCACAACTACAAACACATGGAATTTATTTCTTGTTTCCTCAAGGGTTTGAACGACAACTATCACAAAATTTGCATGCAGATCTTACTTCTTGATCTGATTCCAAGCATAAGTCGCATTTATTCTCTTATTGTTCAGCAAGAAGTGTCTTTGCCTCCACCTTTGACCACCATTTCCACCATCCTATTTTTTGACAACCCCAACCCTATTGGGCGAGGGAGATGGATGTGCCATTCCAAAACCCTCATGCTATGCACCAATTGTAACAAAATGGACCACACAGTGGACACCTGTTTCTTCAAATATGGTTTCCCCGGAGATATCGCACACGAAATCCCAAATCTTTATGAGATTAAAAAACAACAATAAATTCGGACACGCTATGAGTCAAATATCCAAGGAAGACTACCAAAACTTGCTCATGTTTCTTCAACAATAAACTATATCTTTGCTCATGTTTCGCACACAAAGATATGAATACTTCATCTAAATCTCCTCATATAATCTCAGGTATCGTCAACATAGGTAATAATTTACGGTAGTTTTCTATGTGAGTTTTTTATCCAGGGGCATCAAATCATGTATCGCCCCACATTAATTTCTTCTCTGATATTAAAAATATTCATCCAATCAATATCCATCTTCCCAATGGGAATACCATTATTTCCAATTTTCCTGACACCATTATTCTTGACCCTCACTCGCATTTACACAATGTTCTCTACATCCCCAAATTTCATTTTAGCCTGATATCTATTTCCAAACTGAGTCATAATTTACAATACAAAATTGATTTTTCTCATAATGCATGTCATATCTAGGACGTGTCTACAAATAGGACGATTGGACATGTGGTTTAACATAACAACTTTTACACTCTACACAAATTCACAATCACTCTCTTTATAATTATAGTCATTCTAATATTTGTAATTCTGGAACTTTGACTAATATAAATCCTCATATGAACTTAGATATATGGCACCATAGATTGGGTCATCTATCTTATGAGGTTTTAAAACAAATGTCTCGTGTTATTTCCTTTTATCAAATATCATTGTTGTACCCCAATTTTTTCCCTTAAGATCCCTTCATCATACCATATTGATTCAATCACAACAAGATCACATTAGGGCTTTTGGTTCTCCTCCTTATCTTTAGCTTTGCTCTTTGAGGAATCACCAAACACCTTGACTTGTTTTTCTTTTGTGATCATGCCTGTTTTTTTTACTTTCCTTTTAATTACTAAAATGCAATGTTGGTTTGTCTTACTTGTTAATAATGTAGGTAAAGGCAATGTGGCTTAGCAAGTTGATCCATGGGTTCATGAGTTTATTTCCACTCCCTAGTCAATAAAGCTTGAGAAATTCAAACCTCACCATTGAAGTTGTTTTGGAAGAAATGGAATGGCAAGGTTTATTTTGGTTCACCACATTTCAAAGTTATCAAGATTGATTCAAAAGTACAAGGGGTTGATTAAAGAAGTTGTCATGGTGGGACAAGGCCTTGTTCCCATTGGTCACAAGTGCATATTTCTCTCAATTCTCAAGATATGGAAGTGGTTTTGGTTGCTATGAGTTCTCATTATCATCCTCAACAACTTCTATCTACAAAGCAAAAGTGTTGGTACAAGAAGGTTGTTTAAAATTGTCAAAGTTCCTCAAAGCATTTTCTTGATCTAAGAGCTAGGGTTTTAAACTTCAAAGAAGTATATCTTGCTCATCTTTTATATTTTTGAGTGATTCCAAAAACATCCTTTGTTAGAACATAGTTTGATTCTACAACCCTTTATTAGAGTTTTGATGATAACAAATACAAAGAATAAATAAATACAAAGAATATATATAGAACAAATATGCTCCTTAAAAATATGTTTTGTATATGCAGAAGTTCTGATGGGATCAACATCAGAAGATCAGCAATATGTGCTACACGCTGGAGCTATCAGATTATACGCTGAAGATTGATGACTAGAATCTCCGCTTAATCAAGTAAACTCTGACTCTGAACAAGAACATATCAAACCAAGTCATCAATATTCTGCAGCGTCATCAGCAGTAAGGAAAGAAGACTCTGAAGCGTTACTAAACATTCAAGACAGAATTAATGCCAACGACTTTCTTCAGACAAGATCTTCTCCAAAAGGAAAGTGTGTTATTAACATTAAACTTGCTTTATGGACAACGTCTTTGCCTTGCCTATATAAACAAGTCTTCTTGCAAAGAAGCACGCACGTACGCACATAACAATTTGCTAAGAATTCCAAAACCACGCATATTAAAGCTCAAGCAAATTCAATCCTTTTTCTAAGCTTAATCTGTGTAATTTATCACAGTTGTGATAAACTGTTTTTGTTAGAAAAAAATAACACATTTTGTTCAATTATATTGTAAAAGAAGTTCCTTGAGATTAACCGGATTGTGGTTGTACTCAAGAAGACTTTAACAATTGTTAAAGTAGCTGTTGTAATCTTTTGAGATTAGTGGATTAAGACCTTGTTGGAGAGAGGCGAAATCACCTTGATGGATGGACTGGAGTAGTTTGAGATCAAACGAACCAGGATAAAAATATTGTGTCATTAAGCTGTTTTAGATCCAAGTTTTTCAATTCAACCCCCCCCCCCCCCCCCCTTCTTGTGTTTTTCACATCTTCAATTGGCATCAGAGTGCATGGTTCTGAGCTTAAACACTTAACCGTGTCAGTACAAGATCCAGCGTCAGAAAAACACTATGGTGGGACCAAGCCATAACATCAGCAATGACAACAATGAAGACAGGGACAGATTTAGTGGCAAACCTCCAGTCTTTGATGGAGAGAACTTTGACTACTAGAAAGACATAATTGAGAGTTTCTTTCTGGCCCATGATACTGATCTGTGGGACATGGTACCTGATGGATACACGCATCCAGTGGATGGAAGTGGTCAGAATATAGACAGGAAAATGATGTCTGATCAGCAAAAGCGTGAATTCAGAAACCACCACAAGGCCAAAACAATTCTCCTCAGCGCTATCTCATATTCAGAATATGAGAAAATATCAAACAGAGAAACTGCCAAGAATATGTTTGATTCTCTGAGAATGACGCATGAAGGAAACATTCAGGTCAAAGAAACCAAAGCCCTTGCGCTTATTCAGAAGTATGAGGCATTCAAGATGGAAGATAGTGAATCAATAGAAACTATGTTTTCAAGATTTCAAATCCTTGTTGTTGGTTTGAAAGTTCTTGACAAAGGGTATTCTACTGCTGATTACGTTAAGAAGATCATCAGAAGCTTGCCAAAACAGTGGAGGCCAATGGTCACATCACTTAAACTAGCCAAAGATCTCAACAAAATCTCTCTGGAGGAACTTGTCAGCTCCCTCAGAAGTCACGAGATAGAGCTAGAAGAAGACGAACCTCAAAAGCAAGGTAAGCCATTAGCTTTAAAATCTAACAGAAAATCTGACTCCAAAGTTTTGCAGGCTGTAGAAGAAACCTATGATGGATCCTCATCAGAA